CCATCAGTCTCATTTTCCATGTACTCAACTGATTTAAAATTAGAGAACTATGAGACCAGCTGTAATCACTTTTCTCCTCCAAGCATTAAATTTACCTTGAGTGATATGACTTGAGTCATATTTTTATAGCATATTTTTTATATTTCTTAATAGCAAGGATGTAAGGGCTAGAACCGGAAACAAACTTTCTTAAAAGATTCCTAGTTGTTCATTTTTGCAGTAGTAGAGCTGTTTAATTCTCTCAATATATTGCCTCATTCTGAACAAGGAACATCAGCTCTGATCAAAAGAAGCATGATCAGCTGACCATCAGCATAAGGAGACCATAACTTTCTCCAGTTAATATGTTCTGTATGGACTATCTGCTCAGTTTCTCTAATTTGAAGAGGGTTAGGCTTTGTTCCTTTTGAGGAGGATAAGTCTCATTTTGGATGGACAAACCACCACTAACTGCAACGTTGTCTTCAAACAGTAGAAGAGAAAAAAAAAATCCAGTCACTAATGCAAAAAAAAAATTATATGGAATTCAGACAACATAATAACAGATGTTGAAATTCTGTTGTGGGTATGCTGAAACCACTCATCATTTTTCCTTTCTATGGATCTCTGCTTTCCCAAATCATAAACAAAATAAGTGGTCATGAACACAGAAATTGGGATCCAGTTTATACGCTGCTTATATACATCCTTAAACATTCTTTATTCCATGAACATGGACCATATTATTCAGAAATACAGTAGTACATTGTCTGAATTCAAATGCTAAATATGTTTTTTCCCTCCTCTCTTGATTCTAAAAATCCTGAACTTTTTTTTTGTTGTTGTTGTTTGTTTTTGGTTTGTTTCTTTTTCTTTTGATTTACAGCTTCCTCTACCAAGACAACTTATGTCAGTTACAGCAATCAGGCAAACTGAGCAGGGATGAAATTCACTGGAAGATCTGCAGGACTGGATCTTGCAAACATAGACTTTACCACCACGAGAATTCAGTCTTGAAAATATCAGTAGTCTACATTCAAATCGATAGTCAGTCTCCTAAAGAACAAGGATTAAACAAAAGCAAAATGCAAAAAGAGACAGGGGAAGGAAAAGTCCAGTTTTATAACTTACAGACAGAGTGTCAAGCTTCTGAACTGTTCATTCACAAAAGGAAGCAAATCACAAAAGGAAAACAAATGTTAGCTTGTGAAAAAAAAATGCTGTTGAAATAAATCATGTCTGCTGTTATATTTGTAAGTACTTTTTTGTGATTGTGACAATTTCCTTTCCTGTCCTACATTGTTCAATTCGTAAAAGAAGATGAGTTTGTTTCTTGTGACGGCTGACTGAATTAAGTCCTGGGTTATGCTAAAATAAATGCAATGGTCAATGCATGCTAATTTTTATACAAAATAATTTATTTCTAATAATAAAGGAATGTTTTGCAAATGTTGAGGCTTGTTTTGTTGCAGTTTTAAAGAAAAAAAAGTCCTTACACTGTTGTCTATTGTTTGTTTAGAATGTGCAGTAAAGGTGGGTGTACAAATAAAATAATAATCATGGCATCAGAAGAATGCAGTGTAAACTCTAAGCATGTGTGTATGTATGCGTGTATGTGTGCACCTGTGTGTGTACATACGTGCATGCCTGCCTGCATGCGTGTGTGTGTGTACTCTGCAGTGTCTGAATTTATTTGTTCAAAGCTTTGTGACTATATTTTCTAATGGAAGGATTTTTTCCCTCTTCTTACCCTCAAAGTTCATTTTATATGTTTGTAAAGTAAAGGAGTCCTGATAGTAATTATTTTGTATGATTGTATTATATTTTTGAGTCTCCACTAATAATTTTGATCCTTTTCATTTCTGGAACTTACAGTTTGTAAGACTTTATGACAGCTAGACTGGATTAAGCTGAAAGTCTATTCAGCCTAGTATCCTGTCTCTGACAAGAGAATGTAGCAGATGCATATCTCAATAAAGGTGACTTTGAAATAACAGAAGAGAAATCAATGGAGAATTTGGAAAGCTGTAGCCTAGCGAATATATGTACTATTGCCTTATAAACACTTACAAATCAAAGAAAGAAATGCCAATCTACAATCTAATCTTCTTTACATCTTCTAATTCCCATCATTGAGTGAGGTCAGAAACAACTATGCAAAGAGAAAGAGAAAATCACATCTATATCTATTGTGTTAACGAAACCCTCCAAATAATTAAAAAAATACGGATGGTGACTGTCCCCTTTGTTATTACACCTGTGGTGGATGTTCTGTAAGACTTTCACTCCATAAAGTACTTACCATTCATCAAGTCAATGGGTCTTCACATGCAGCTGTTTATTAAATGTTATGTCTCCCGACTTAGCCTGGATGGCTCCTTGTGATTTTTATCCTCACAGCAGATGTATTTTTATAACATATCTTAAGGGAGTTGTGGTGGGTCCTAAATTATATAAATGAAAGTTGAAGTACCTGAAACTGAATCTCTTTCTATTACAATGCCAGTATTTAAACTTCAGTGTGGCTGGCAACTGTATGACAATGAGTGTCCATTTTCAAAGTATTTGATAAAACATACTTAGTGTTCCCAGAAATTGCATGTCTGAAGTATTATCTGATGATTGCTATGGTATGTATGGTATTGTGTGCTTGGTATGATTGATATTTTGTATGAACTTTCCTCTAGTGACTATTCCACAAGCACATCAAAGCCAAAACTATAAACTAACATATGCTTATTTTAAAGCATATAGAAGATGCAGGTAATGCAGTGAAACCTGCAAAAAATAATAAAACAGTTTTAGTTCTATTTTGTTAGCCAATATCTCATAAAATTGAAGTTTTCTTGTGGAAATAGATTGATTAGATCAATTTTTGACAAGACAGATTTTTGTGCCTAGGATGGATTTCCTAAAAGAGAAAGAAAATCTGTTTTATCTGAAAAGCAATATTTTGACAGAGTTTCTTTTCAAGAAGCCTTTGAAAAGTTTAATTCTCAATACACAATGAAAAAAGTTTCAGATACTTTGAAATAGCTATACCTATTACTTTAAGCATAACCCTATGCATTTGAAAAAACAGTACATGGGAATTGCATTTAAACATGTTGTATACACATAAACATATGTTACATATACATAAAGATTAGTATATGATATATAAATCTCTTCCAGCTTCACAGTAGTCTGAAGAAAATGTTATTGTGAACAGATTTGCCAGGATCAACATAGATTTTCTTTCGATTGAATAGTAGGTTAAAAATGGAATGTGAATTGGTATGTGCATTTCTGTGTAAGTCTCTCTGAAACATGGAGTATATTAAGGCTGTAAGTCCCACTGGCATTAATGTAACTAATCAGATAAATGAGCACACAGTATGAATTACAGAACAGCACTGGTCTACAGGTTTCCCTTCAATGGGGTGGTTATGTGCAGTTTGTGAAAATGCACAGAATAGCCCACTCAGATTTCACAGTCATTCAGTAGCTGAGATCTTGAAGTTTAATAACTAAACTTTTGCATAGGTACAATACTTTTTTCATCTAAAATTATAAAATGTCTTTATTCTACAAAGTTAGGGTTCAGTTCTGCTCACAGAGAAGCAGGCTATTCAATTGCTATTACTGATAATTTGTGTGTGATTATGCTGAAGCAAGTCCATCAGGGCACACAACTTATTTTTACTGACAGCAGAAACAAGTCCTTAATGTTGTTTTGTGACTGCAAAATAGATACAATGACTGAGATCTGAATGACTCTTTGTATCGGGTCAATGAACCAGGAATCAAACAGAACTAACAGACAATACTTTTCTACAGAACGAGTAATGAGCCACAGCATCTAAAATCTCCTTTTCCAGAAATGGCCAAATAACAATTTCCACAAAAGGGTTTTTAACTAATAACATTACCTCTCTTCCAATTAATAGATAATTTTTATTACTAAACAAGAAAACAAAAAAAATAAAGCATTACTAAGACATATAGTTTGTAAATATATTTTATTGGTAGATAACTTATTAATTTATGCATCTACTTCAAGGCAGAATGTGAAGGCAGAAGACATAAAATGGTGTAGGGAGCAGTAGGCTTTGTTTTGGAAATGTGCATAAATGATCCAGTATATTTCACCTCCACATCAGCCATTCAATAAAATGATAGCTTATTATGATTTCAATTAACTTATGTGCCATGTGGCATAATTAGGAAATTACATGTTCTGGTTGAAATTTGAAGAGCAAAATTCAATGTCAGAGGAGGGAAACATTACTTTTCCCAGTTTTGATACTATCATAATGGCACCTTTAGCACTTGTGATGCTGCAATTATTTATGTCCAGGAAACACCAATTTATATACATGTTTCATTTGCTGTGGATTATTACCTCTTCCAGTCTAAATGTGAAAAGGTCTTCTTCTCAGTAAGAAGTCATTTCCTTTAGACTTTCTCCTGAAATTTCAGTAGCTAATACGAAAGTAAGGTATGTATATCACTAATTCTTATTCTGCTTACTGGGCAAGTAAATTATTGTTATAAATGGGTTACAGCAAATGCAAGGAGGAACAGATCTTCTCTGTGGACAGCTCCCTACACTTCTGAATATATGTAAATTGTATTGTCTGCTACTTAGCTTAAAATTTAGCTTCTTTCTTAGCTTAAATTTACTAGTAAGATCATGAGAACTGAAAAATATTTGGTGGAAATAATCTGTTGCATCTGTGCAATGAAAATAAGCTGGCTGACATGAAAGACAAATTAATCTGGAAACATTTTGGTTATAATAACTTAAAGGAAATTGGAAAACTTACTATTGAGTATATTAAAAATTTTATCAGGGAATGAACTACAATTAGGAGTGTGCTTAGCTTGTTTCAGCAGAATCTTATGAACATTTTCAGGTTGTCTTAAAAGGTTATTGTAGAAGTCTTTGCACATTTCATACATTTTGATAACTGTAAATTCCTCTGTCACATTTAAACACTAAAATAATGGAGAGCAACACTTTTTCTCATTTGACATTAAAGTGTGACAGCAGGTCATTAACTGCCAGGAAGTCAATATTTTAAGTGGTACAGCAGCAGGGAAGAGGAAACAGCATTGTCCCAAAAGCTGAAACAATGCTGAAAGTACAGTAAGATGCACAGTGTCCTTAATGACAAACCAAGCTCCTGTTTGTATTAAACAAATACCTTGTCTCCTGGTACAAGTGGAGAAATATAATATGCAGAGGAGTATGGACATGAAAGAAAAAAAGAGCAGTGACAGAGTCAGAGTGTCTAAAACCCTTCCATAAGCAGCACAAAATATTGAAAAGTGTTAAAGGACTGTACCAGCTCCAGACACTGACCTCTGTAGAGAGCACACTCCATCCCCAGAGTGTGTTCATCGTCCATCCTCTGCAGAACTGCAATGAGAAAACATGACAAATTAATTAATGGAAACCATCAATGTTAATGTTGGAGGAGGTAGTAAATAACAAATAGACTCATTTTTCTTTAAAATTCAAGCAAATATTATCATGGTGCCCAAGGAATATGCACAACTTCTGCAAAGACCTGCAAATACAAGCATGTTAACATTTTTTTCAGAAGGTGTAAGCTGCCATCAAAGGTTGCAGCATCACAAATAAGACAGCACCTGGCTCATTCTCTTTTGTCAATGAATACTTCAGTGCCAGGACTTCAGAAAAAAACTGGAGATTTCCTGGTCCATCATAACCTAGTCTGAGAAGGAGCTGGATGACAGTTTCCAAAATAAAGGGAAAATTTCTCTGTAAAACTGATTTTTTTTTTAACTTTAAATTTCCAGGTCACCAATATATTGAGCAACACTGCAAGTGCAATAACTTCATAGTCCTCTCAGAGAAAGGAAAATATAAATTGCATGGCTGGTATCATGTCCTGCACAGGTGTTTTTGACGTTCTTTGAATAAGTAACAAGCCAAAGTTAAACATTATTCTGAAAAAATTTCTGCAAGATTGATGTCATTAAAAAGTGCTATATACAGTGCTAGTTTAAAAGCCTTTATTTGCTTCCTGTTTACCTGATACATCATTTGCTCTGTTTCTGGAAGCCTACTGTACTCCCCAAGTTGGCTGAAGTGTTTTTACTGTCTTTGTGATCACTATCACATGAATATCAAATAATTATGACCTTTAATAAAATAAACTATATTTATTTAACTTACAAGTTTTATTTTTCCTAATCTTGCTTGAAAGTTTGAGGAACTTTTCAACAGATATGGTCTGATTTGTGACTGGTCACAATCTTTCTTCAATACAGCTTCCAGTGGTTTTTTCTTACTCCATTTAGAGCCTTTTTTCCAAGTATTTCCTTTGGTATCATGGAAGAAAGCACATCAATAGAGTAAATAAATGTCAATAAAAGGAGCAATATGAGGACTAAGAGGGTGAAAATTGCTTAAAGAAGATAACAAAACTCCAGACAACTGACTTCTTTCTTTTGCGGAACAGAATAACCATCCATATCTAAAGACAGTTTCCACAGGCTGCAGGAGGAAGTCTTCGTTAGTGGCTGTTCTCTTAGAAAATCTTATCAACTGGATTGGAATGGTATTTTTTTGCATGTAATTTTTATAAAATAGAAAAAAAAAGGAAAGAGAGACTGAACAGGTGAAAATGAATGTTGGAGATGCGTAAGATATATTGAACTGCCAAATTTTTGAGAACTTACCTGTTGCAAGAAGAGTAAAATTAAATAATTAAACTAGTAAATCAGAGATGAAGCTATCAATACTTCTATTTATCTATCAGTTTCTTTACATCTCTCATATATTACAGGCTGTAAAGAGTACCTCAATATTACTTGTCTGCTCTTTTTAAATCAGAAGTTCAGTTCTTACTGTGTGCATAATTCCGGGAGGATATAGAGTAGTAAATATAACTGTATCCATATATTCTGTTTTAGCTCCACATAGTTTTTCATCATGAGTGCTAAACACTTCTGAAAAAAATATGTTACTTATTTCTTAGTTTCTATGGTTCATACGCTTACCTGAAAATACAGAAGGAATTGCAATCATTTTGATATAGAGGTTATCATTTCTGGTGAGAGCTTCCATCCTTTGTCATTGTTGGCAGTGTGACACTGAACAAGGAACGACAGAAAGATTAGTTTTATACAAAATTCAGGATATTCTTCACTGAATGACAGCTATGGAGCACACAATTTGCAAGATATAATAACAATAATGTGATTATTTCAAATGCCAGACTGAGGGTACTTTATAAATAACTGTCTAAAGCACTGAAAGTTTAGAATAGATGCCTGAAAAGTGTGTTCCAGAGATAGTTTCAAATGTCTGTGTTTCAGAACCTGTTGTTTCATTTAAGAAAAATGAGCTGTTACTTCAAGACTCAGACTGCACAGAATACCAGAAAGGGAGAAACACCCTGGCAACACCATAAACATTACAGGTGAAAGAAATGAACCACTTGTTTTTTTAGTAAGTCTGATTAATTCAGTGAATTTCATAGTTAAGTATATTGCTTTTCCACAAAACCAGAAATGAGACAGCATAGATGATATGCTCATGAAAAATAATCATACCATACTTTCTGCTTTTTCTTCACACAGAGGAGAGCTACATGTACTTATGTATGTGTACTTAAAATCCTACGACTTCCTCCATGGCTTTTTTCTTGAAAGAATCATGCTCATGATCCCCTTGTAATTTGGTAAAATGCTTTCCTTTAAAGAACAAGGAGGGGCAGCTGTTTGCATGCAGACAGCCCTGTGTGTCCATTTGAGGGAAATTGAACTGTTGAGGCAGCTGCCTACAATTTTTCCATCACTGCATCCTACTGTATCCGATCTCTTAGCACCAAGACACCTGACACAGCTCACAACCTGTGTTTGATGAGGTTTTGCTGAAAGCCAGGTTTTCCCTAAGCAGCACTAATGACAGCAGAATGTTTTTTGTGGTAGGAAAACATCACTGAAACTATTTCCCATGTGGTGAATTTCCAATAGATAGGGAGTCAGGGATCAAAGCAAGATCTTTTCTGGAGAGCAAAAGTGTAATGTCAGCTTTCCTGCCTGGTACAGTGAATTGAACTACCAGCTGCCAGGGCAAAGGGCTGGTGTGCTACTGATGCAAATGAGACTCACAGCTCTCTGGCCTGGGAAAACCACATGAGTCATCTGAAAAACATTTGCATAACCTGGGACTTGCAGCACATCCTGACCCAGGATGTAGATGTTACTCTTTATCAGATAAAGTGACAGTAACAGGTAGATTGTGAGTTTTCTTTCCATGGGATAATGAAATTTCCAATAGATAAGTCCCTCTAACCTCATGGGGGGGATTATGAAGTTAATTTTACAATAAATGAATGCACAGTTACTTGTAGACAGTAAACTGAAGAGATTGGTATCAACTTTGATCATATCTGTTTTCCACTGAAAATTGGACACAATCATATTTGCAATACACAGCCAGGATTGCAAATTTTACATTGGGTAGACTGAATCAGACTTTCATATGGGAAGTAAAAAATATAAAAATGTAGGTTGATTGACATACCAGGTATCCCTGGTTGCTATTTCAATATAAAACGCAACTAGAAATGTGCTGACATGCAAAGAGATCAAAGTATTCAGTAAGCCATGTCTTTGCTTAAAAATTAAATTAATCTACAGAGGTACTATCCTGGAAAGAAAAAAAAGCATAAAGTGTCCTACAGTAAGATAAAACAAATTATCCAACATTCTGTGAAATAATTAGAATATCCTACAAAGAATTGCTGGCTATTGGGATTTTGTACATGGTAATTTCCATATTTTATTTAAAATACTGCTGAACCTGATGAATATTTTAATCACAATAAAATAGCAACTTTTTTCTACTGCAGTTCTACTCCTTACTTACAAACTTATAGCTTACATCAGCAAGTGACAGTCCTGATACTAACATAGACCCAGGACATAAACAGAAGTTGATCCATATGGAGCTGAAAAATTTCAGGCAGGTTCTTCCCTGCATGTAGGGATCAAGATAAATCAGCATGAGCAAATCATCCCTCAGAGACCTCCAAGAGAAGATAATTTAGAGATATCAGAAGCTGGTTCTTGCTTTCTGTATAAGGTCTCATCACCACTTCAAAATGTCTTGGTCTGGCAACAAGTCCCCATTCTGCATGCTCAGAAGCTGACCAAAGCACATAAATCCATAGAATCTGTTCTAGAAAATATGGCCTTTAAGAAGTTGAAGAGGAGCTTCAAATGAAGCATGTACTGTTCATACCATTGAAGTATATCTTTTCACTTTTTGATGTTGGTTCTCATGGTTGAATACTCTGGAAGGATGATATATTCTAATTACCAGAATTCATTATTAACATTATTAACATTAATCTGTATTTCATCAGCAGTTTTTATACATGAATCTATATTTTGTCAGCAGTATCTGAAGAAGGTATCTGAAGTATCTGAAGGGCATACACAACTGGCGAGTTATTCTTAAAGATAATTGTGGCAGTACTGAGACTCTCAGATAAGTTCCCATTATTCACCACTGCTGTAGTGTGTCATTTCCCTTCACTTTCTGAGGCTAATCTGTGATTTTACTTGATTTTGTAAGTATTCTAGCCTGCAACTGAGACACAGCAGATTTGCAAAACTCCCTGTCTGTGATTCGTAGAAAACTGGATAGAGGTGATTGGCAGACATCAGCTCCATTCTGTAACAGTACTATCTGCTCAGCTTCTCTGGGATCAGCAACTCCAAGACAACCCAGGACTAAAGAATTTCTTCAAAGAAAAATGTATGGTTGGGTTAGAGGTGTCTGTTTGTCTGCCTGCTTCTTTAGAACAACCCAGGCTTGTCAGGCCATGGTGATCTATCTGCAGCTGACTTTTATTAACTGACCTTGTCACAGTAGCCTGTATTTTGATAATGCAAACCACTAATTTTTAACTACAATATGCAACATGAAGCTGAGAAACTGAAGCCTTTTCATCCTTCAGGAACTTATTCCCATTCAGAGCTCCAGTCTCCCCCAGGGAGCCATCCAGTGTAATTGTTTCTTGGATGGCTTCAGTGATTTTGCTTTAATAGAAATGCCCGCTAGGATGCTCCATGTACTTATAATTTTTTCCATGAAAAATTCTTTGTAGTTTCTGCTGTAGTTTCTTTGGAGTTTGCCTTTTTTTAGAAGCTTATTTCCAGAAGCTAAGAAAAATTGAAACTTTTGATTCTATGTATATGTCACTTTTTTGATTATGATTTACTGGGAATTCTTATATAGATGGGAATATGTTTTCCAGAAAGCAACTAGCTTTATCATTTATAAAAAACTGAATTTTTCTCTCTGTGGAGCTAATCCAAGGCTTTCTGTAAGATACTGGTGCGTCCTGAGAAATGACAACATCTAGTTCTCCCTGAAATGTCCAGGATACAAATTTAATAGGAAGGATATAATTTCCAGGTTACTAAATTATCAGCATCTAAAAAAATAAATCTGGCTGTTACAATAGCTTGCCTGCCACATCCAGATCCTGAAGCAATATTTTCCGAAGAGTTGGGAAATAGAAAGAGAATGAATACCTGGGAGCTGTGATGGAGGTTATGACTTGGGCAGAGTGCCTGGTACCGGTAGCAGTGCCACAGAGTTGTTGCTTTGAGGTAAATGCACAAAGCAATTTAGGTGTTACAGTGCTGCAATCAAAGGATCATATTGAAAATTAAAAACTGCTAAAGTCCAGTTCAAACCAGCCTGAAACTTGTTTTCAAATGGCTCTGAACTGGAGTGAAACTCTTCACTGAACACAAACTGATGCTAAATCTGCAGTAATTCTCCAGTACTATAGTTCAGCTAAAAACATGATTCCAAGGGCAGATGGCTTGGATGCTTTCTCTGTGTGTATATGCACTTCTGTTCCATATGGAAAACTTTTCTCACAAGCAAAAATTTGCATAGATGTTCCTTTATCAATCCTGTGACTAGTTCAGCAATTCAAATCTTACCAAGAAACTTTAAATAGTGTTCAGCTCTCAAATAGTTGTATTTTTTCAGTTACACTGACAAAATTAAAATATCTTTTGTTCAATAAAAATAGATACTTGTAGAATGAGAGGCATCCAGAGAGCAAATCTGTTGCAGACAGATATTTCCATTGTGAATACAGTTATCTTTAATTTATATAGAACTTGTCTGAGGAAAAAAAATCTCTTTAAAACAGAATAATATATTCTTCCAGTAAATGGAGCAGCATAAGGATAAGAAAATGATATTATAATTATGCCACATGATAAAACGATGGCTAAGAATTTAAAGCTTGTGAAACATAGATAAGAAAGTCTTAAATTTGACAAGAACTCTGATTATAGAACAAAAATCCAGAAATTCATACAATTTGCACGCCTACAGTGTGTGTTAGCATATCACAACTGTGTTTATGATGACAAACTAAAAGTACCATTGGACATAAAAGTTACACAAAATGTATAAATTACAAAAATGCATAATGAACTAAAACCCCCTGAAATTACTGACTGTGTATAGAGGTTTTCTTTATGAAGGTGATTATCTGCAATTAGATCTGAAATCTCACGGCTGTTACATGATGAATTACCCACCTTCTCAACAACTGCTTTGTTATCATTTTGTTTAAAATGTTGATAACAATTCTGTCTTAATGTTCCTTTAACAATAAAGATTAAAGCAATCATTTTAAATAATGTTAATGATAATAGCACAACCACAAACTTGTTAGAAATTTACCTGTACTTAGAGATATTTGCTGCTAAATATTTTCTCAAAAGCTTAGTTTTAGCAATTTTTCTGTTCAGTTATATTAAAATTCATGGTAAAATAGAATGCTCTATTTGCTTGACAGTATAATGTAATCTAGTTTTGTGAAATATCTCAGAAAACTGGGGACCTAGAAGTTCTAGAAAGCACCAATTTGAAGTCAAGGCAAAGAGGACAGAACCAGAATCTTTTCAGTGGTGACCAGTGAAAGAAGCAGAAGTGATGAGCACAAACTGAAACACAGCAGGCTCCCTCTGACCACCAGGGAACGCTTTTGTCCTGGGAGGGTGACCAAGCACGGGTGCAAGCTGCCCAGGGAGGTTGTGGAGCCTCCTGCCTTAGAGATCTTCCTGGCCAAGGGTGGCCTTCCTTAAGCAAATGGGTGAATCTCATGGGTCATCTCCAGAAGTGCCTGCTAGCCTCAGCTACTCACTGATTCAGTGATTCTGTGAAACATTACCCATTAAACTTTCAAAAACCTGTTTCAACACAAAAACAACCTTTTAAAAGCCAAACAACTGACTACATAGACAGCTACTTGGAAAAATCAATATCATTTCACATGTACAAATGTGATGGGCTTATTCCTGGGAAGAATAAGTTGTAAATATCTTTAAAGCTTAGCAAATATTTGTAAAATTTTGGCAAGTTTTCTTTTAAAGCCTCATTTTTTTTCTCTGACTGATATAAAAAGAAAACCAGACATCTCTCAGCTTAAGACTGGTTTAAGTCTCTGGACTTCACCTCAGTTTTTACTTCAAGGGTTTGCTAAGGATTGTTGTGATGAAAGAATAAATTGAAGTGTGGAAGGGAATTTTTCTTAAAAGGTAGGAAAGTAACGTGAATTATTTATTTCTGTAGTCTGCAGGAATCAATGTCTAGAACCAATATTAAAATACATA